GCCAAAGGGAGAATATATTTGAGGTGGAGAGACTGGACGTCCAAGACCAGAGGCCAGTGCGAGTTTTTGTATTCCCAAGAACCTGTGCAGTGCTTACACTTGTTATCCTCCTCCTTCCCGCCTCTCTTGTTATCTGCTGGTCTGGAGCTGCTAAGTGCAATGTTATCAAACTCTACAGAAGGTCAAAGCTGTGGTGGTACAGCCACCACAGCCTTGTTTGAGGTCAGTTTGAAATAGTTATCAAATGTGTGTGTGTGTGTAACATGTTTACTATTTCATGTAATGGCCAAACAATTCCGTATGTATAACTTGAGTGATGTGTTGTTGTGGTTGCAGCTCGTGGTCGGAGGAAGGGTGCCGGGTGCTGCGCTACAACACCTCCCACACCGTGTGCGAGTGCGACCACCTCACCAACTTCGCCGTCTTGATGGATGTGCACGCCACCCCGCTAACTTATTCCCACCAGCTCGCCCTCTCCATCATCACCTACGTCGGCTGCGTCATCTCCATCGTCTGTCTCCTCCTCGCCACTATTGTCTTCCACGCCTTCAGGGGCCTCAAAGTAAGTCGATGTTTTACCCCGGGAGACCAACCTATAGTTATGGTCAAATCCACAAGGGCCATGACGAGGATTCGAACCTGCGACCGGGAGCATCCTAGACACTATCCCTTGTGACTTTGTTCATTTGATGCATCACGTTAGTGTGATCTGTGTGTATAGTTATGGTCTTGTCGAGGGGGAACCGTGTGATACTGGTAAGATTCTCATGGCTTCCCCCGTCAAATGCTGTTGACATAGGGATCTGTCTCGGGTTATTTATGTTCCGCTAAGATGTATGTGGTGGTGTTTAAAGGTTTTTACTGGGAGGGCTGGAGTGTTTAGGTGACAGGGGAGTGCCTGCAGGTGGTTTCTCCTTGTTATCACGTGGGAGGGGCGCGGAGGGGAGATTGCTCCTGACGAAGGCGCGAAGATTTAGAGGAATTATTCGCAAATTATTTCAATAAATCATCGCAGCTGTGGCTGGAGTGAACAGCTGGTAAAACAAAACAAAAAAACCTTACAGCTTATAATTAGAGCGGTGAGACTTGCACTGGCCAAATATATAGTATACAATTTGAACAATATTTGAACAATAATAATATATTATTTTAGAGGAGGGCGTTCGTGTCTGCATCACTTCTCACCATCACGCATTGTGATAGTGAATTGTGTTCACCATGTAACTTGTAATAGTTGATTTAATGTAATAAGTTAACAATAAATTCCTAATATAACTCGATAATATCTAATAATATAATTCAATAATTTTTTAAATTAAACAATATCCATTTAATTCTGCTGAGGCATTGGGGGGGGGGTTACTACTCATGTTTCTTGTTCTAAGTTGAAGTGTTTATTTTTATTATTATATCTCTCACCCCCTGATATCACAGCCCTGGGACTGTTGTGTAGCCTTAGGTCTGATGGGGTCAGTACAGAGTGTTAACTCGTATGCTTACTTGCCCGAACAGAGCGACCGGACGACCATTCACAAGAACCTGTGCGTGTGTCTGTTGATTGCCGAGACGGTGTTCCTGGCGGGGGTGAACCAAACAGACAAGCCGGTGGTGTGCGGGGTGGTGGCCGGCCTCCTCCACTTCTTCTTCCTCGCCGCCTTCGCCTGGATGTTCATGGAAGGTGAGCGAGGCCATCCAGGGCCTGCGAAGTCCGCCTCGGACGGGACGACGTCCGGGGTGTACACACACACACACACACACACACACACACACACACACACACACACACACACACACACACACACTCACACACACACACACGCACGCACGCACACGCGTACACGTGTGTTGGATCTGTATTAAACACACTTGGATCACGTTTGCATGTCTGGTCTGCGCTCCATGCGCGAATGGTTCACGGGTCATATGCTGGTTCCATGTGTGGTTCTTGATGCAAGTAATAGTTGACGGTTTGGGGGTGCGTGGGGCTGGGGGGAGGTGTGTGTGCTCAGGCGCTGTGGGACGTTTGCCAGGTTGTCACGACTTGTCACCAGATTTACTCTTGACTCCCACTCCCTTTTGCCTGCCCTCACCCCCCTGACGCAACACCCCGCCCTCTCCCCCTGACGCAACACCCCGCCCTCACCCCCTGACGCAACACCCCGCCCTCACCCCCTGACGCAACACCCCGCCCTCACCCCCTGACGCAACACCCCGCCCTCACCCCCTGACGCAACACCCCGCCCTCACCCCCTGACGCAACACCCCGCCCTCACCCCCTGACGCAACACCCCGCCCTCACCCCCTGACGCAACACCCCGCCCTCTCCCCCTGACGCAACACCCCGCCCTCACCCCCTGACGCAACACCCCGCCCTCACCCCCTGACGCAACACCCCGCCCTCACCCCCCTGACGCAACACCCCGCCCTCACCCCCCTGACGCAACACCCCGCCCTCACCCCCTGACGCAACACCCCGCCCTCACCCCCTGACGCAACACCCCGCCCTCACCCCCTGACGCAACACCCCGCCCTCACCCCCTGACGCAACACCCCGCCCTCACCCCCTGACGCAACACCCCGCCCTCACCCCCTGACGCAACACCCCGCCCTCACCCCCTGACGCAACACCCCGCCCTCACCCCCTGACGCAACACCCCGCCCTCACCCCCAGACGCAACACCCCGCCCTCACCCCCTGACGCAACACCCCGCCCTCACCCCCTGACGCAACACCCCCGCCCTCACCCCCTGACGCAACACCCCCGCCCTCACCCCCGCCCTCACCCCCGCCCTCACCCCCTGACGCAACACCCCCGCCCTCACCCCCTGACGCAACACCCCCGCCCTCACCCCCTGACGCAACACCCCCGCCCTCACCCCCTGACGCAACACCCCCGCCCTCACCCCCTGACGCAACACCCCCGCCCTCACCCCCTGACGCAACACCCCCGCCCTCACCCCCTGACGCAACACCCCCGCCCTCACCCCCTGACGCAACACCCCCGCCCTCACCCCCTGACGCAACACCCCCGCCCTCACCCCCTGACGCAACACCCCCGCCCTCACCCCCTGACGCAACACCCCCGCCCTCACCCCCTGACGCAACACCCCCGCCCTCACCCCCTGACGCAACACCCCCGCCCTCACCCCCTGACGCAACACCCCCGCCCTCACCCCCTGACGCAACACCCCGCCCTCACCCCCTGACGCAACACCCCGCCCTCACCCCCTGACGCAACACCCCGCCCTCACCCCCTGACGCAACACCCCGCCCTCTCCCCCTGACGCAACACCCCGCCCTCTCCCCCTGACGCAACACCCCGCCCTCTCCCCCTGACGCAACACCCCGCCCTCTCCCCCTGACGCAACACCCCGCCCTCTCCCCCTGACGCAACACCCCGCCCTCTCCCCCTGACGCAACACCCCGCCCTCTCCCCCTGACGCAACACCCCGCCCTCTCCCCCTGACGCAACACCCCGCCCTCTCCCCCTGACGCAACACCCCGCCCTCTCCCCCTGACGCAACACCCCGCCCTCTCCCCCTGACGCAACACCCCGCCCTCTCCCCCTGACGCAACACCCCGCCCTCTCCCCCTGACGCAACACCCCGCCCTCTCCCCCTGACGCAACACCCCGCCCTCTCCCCCTGACGCAACACCCCGCCCTCTCCCCCTGACGCAACACCCCGCCCTCTCCCCCTGACGCAACACCCCGCCCTCTCCCCCTGACGCAACACCCCGCCCTCTCCCCCTGACGCAACACCCCGCCCTCTCCCCCTGACGCAACACCCCGCCCTCGCCCCCTGACGCAACACCCCGCCCTCGCCCCCTGACGCAACACCCCGCCCTCGCCCCCTGACGCAACACAACGCCCTCGCCCCCTGACGCAACACCCCGCCCTCTCCCCCTGACGCAACACCCCGCCCTCTCCCCCTGACGCAACACCCCGCCCTCGCCCCCTGACGCAACACCCCGCCCTCGCCCCCTGACGCAACACCCCGCCCTCACCCCCTGACGCAACACCCCGCCAACTATGTGTGTGTGTGAGACGCAACACACACACACACACACACATATATCTCCATGGTGTATAACAAATCAATGACCTGCCAAAAATTTGGAAGACGGCTAATGTAGTCCCGATATTGAAGAAGGGTGACAGGAGACACTGAATTACAGGCCAGTGTCCCTAACTTGCATACCATGCAAGTTAATGGAGAAAATTGTGCAAAAAAAAAAAGCTTCATTGAATCTGATATATTGTGAGACATCCTAATAATCTATTCTATATTTTCTTGTTCATTGAATTATGTTTAGCTGCGTCTCCCATGACTCTACCTCTATCCCGTGTGGGGCAGTGAAGACTAGATAGCTGTTTTGCAATTAACACATAAATCATGTCTCTTGTAGTAGGCTGCAGCGTCCTTAAAAGATATGATCGTTCAAATATGTTAGTTAGACCTGTTGCCTTCTGTGTGCTGTGTAGCAATAAGTATGAACAGCATCGTCACTGTAGTAACCTCAAGGTAGTCACTATCAGATTGAATTACTTCAATTTGGCAAAATGATAAACAAATGTTGCCAATAAGAGAATCGTCTAGGGGTTCCTGGCAGTAAGTTAGTGCCTAATTAATGCCTTGTGTCCCGGTATGAGTAGTACCCTAGTTGGTACCTCGCCCTGATGCTACCAGTCCCCCCTTCCCTTCCCTGGTAGTTAGAGATTAGCGCCCCTGTCCCAGCACGGACACCTGTTCACCCATTCTCTCCTCTGGGGGCCTCCCACTACAGGCTTCCAGCTCTACGTGATGCTGGTGGAGGTGTTCGAGGCGGAGAAGCCCCGCGCTCGCTGGTACTACGCGGCCGCCTACGGCTTCCCGGCACTGGTGGTGGCCATCAGCGCCGTCGTCGACCCCTTCAGCTACGGCACCCGGGACGCCTGCTGGCTCCGCGCTGACAATTACTTCATCTTCGCCTTCGTCGGGCCCGTCATCGCCGTCATTATCGTGAGTACATATGAAGTCACTTTACCTCTGGAGGAGGAACGGTAGGAAAAGGGGGGCTACTGCAGGTGGTAGCAGAGAGGTAGAGGTTTTCAACAAGGAATAATTATGGTCTTCAGCGTGGTGCCGGGTGACGTAGTTGGGTTGAAAGGGTTTGGGTGTGGACAGGTGGGTGGGGCGGGGCAGGATTGGGTGGGGCGGGGCAGGATTGGGTGGGGCAGGGCCTGGTGGAGAAAGGCGTGACTGGCCAACGCGTCCAGTCACGCCCAACAATTTAATCGAACCATTTAGTTTCATGCCGATGAATCTGACCGGATTTTTATGTTCATATATACTGTTAATGGGGGGGGGGGAGGGGGGGGGGGGGGGGGGGGGGGGTCGATGATAGCATGTGGTGGTAAGGTCAGTGGGTGACCTCTCGCCCTTGACCCCGGCTCCACTTACCACAGGATGGAGTTTGACTCGACAACCTTTCCTTTCAATCCACTCCACTAACTGCCCTTGCATTAGAGTACTTTTTTTTAACATCCTATAGCTCATCTTCGCTTCCTGTGTAAACTCATGTCTCTGTTCACACTTAACATTGTAGTCTTATCCACTGTGTTAATGCATTTGTGAACTTTTTTCTCTCTCAATAGCGTGGTGAAGTCTCGTTCTGTCTTTCCTCGTAACTCAGTTCTCTTAAGTTCAGAGGCCAAGTCTTGTAGCGATTGGGTGCTCGTGCCTCTCACAGTTGCTAGATCACTCTGGCCCTGGGTGCCACGGAAGGCAAGCACAACGCAGAGGTAAAATACCGTACACAGATTTTGCAAAAGCTTTCGACCATGGTGGTGTTGCGCACAACATGCGCAGCTTCAACTGCCTAACGAACAGAAGCCAAAGTGTAATAGTCAACACAGTAAAATCCGGATCATACACTATGAAACATTCAGCCCCCCCCCTTTCAAGGTACCGTACTTGCTCCGGTACTTTTTCTCATCTTAATATCAAACATAGACAAGGATACATACTATAGTACTGCATCATCATTTGCAGATCAGTAGTAGGTATCCGTCAGTCTCAGGAGACTATACTATATATATTTGGCCAGATACATGGCTAGGATTTTCATGCTAGATAATATATCAAGAAAAATGACAGGCTGGATAATGAGAACCTTTCAAACAAAGGATACCATACCAATGATACTTTTCAAGACACTGGTGCTCTCTAGAGTGGAATATTGTTGCACACTAATAACCCCATTCAAGGCCGGATAAATTTTTGACCAAGAGAGCGTGTGCAAAGATACGTTCCTGCTAGAATCTGCTATAAAACATCTAAATTATTGGAACCAATTAAAAGTTAATAATATATTCTCTACAGCGCATGCGAGAGAGATGCAAGTATTTATACGTGGAAAATACTAGAGGGGACTGGATCCAAATCTGTACACGGAAATGACATCACATGAAACCATAGGCATGGACGGATGTGCAAAATTGCGCCATTGAAATGTAGAGGGGCAATAGGTCGAAGGCTATTTTAGGAGGCCTGGTCGAGGAGACCGGGCCGCGGGGACGCTAAGGAACCGAAATCATCGCAAGGTAACCGCAAGGTAGGTACACTGAGGGAGATCTCTATTAACATCAAGGGCCCAAGACTTTCAATACTCTCCCGTTACACATAAGAGGCATAACTTTTTAAGAGTTTCTCCGAATGTTCCAAAGACAGCATTTGCCAATGTGAGATGACCATTTTTGAACGGAGTTTTAATTTCAGGCCTTCAGGCGAAAAATAGAAGTTACATTGCTCAAGTTGTTTTCAATAAGAACTTTTTTGAGTGTTTGTTGCTGCCATATTCCGTTACAGGACAACAAATTTCAATTACTCCCATACAGGAAAACCGAAAATCTTGAAAGGAATGCAGGATACACAACATGGCCAGAACTCCTCATACAAAAGCACGATCAGGTCGAAGACCTGGGGAATAATAAGGTCACAAGACCTAACACTTAGAGAGCATAATAAAGCGAACATTGCAACGGGCAGAAAATGATAGGGCGGATAATGAGAACATTCAACACGAGGAATGTCACACCAATTATGGTACTCTTCAGAGGGCTGGTGCTATCTCGTATGGAATATTGTCTGGGCCTCATGTCACCTTTCACGGTAAGCGAGATTGCAGAGCTGGGGAATGTAGAGAGATCGTATACTGCAGTGAAGTACTTGATCTACTGGGACCCGAGTCAAAGCACTGAAATTGTAGTCCTTGGAACCTAGCTGAAAGATATAATATACACATTTAAAATATTGAAAGGTCAGGTTCCAGATTTACACAATATAATTACAACATGCTGGGGTGAGAGTGATGATAGGAAGAGAAAAATATATCCAATGGAAAGTGTGGGTGTGTCTGGTGTTGACACCACCACACTTGGAGAACAGTGTGACCACCACCACCACCACACTTGGAGAACAGTGTGAACAACACCACCACCACACTTGGAGAACAGTGTGAACACCACCACCACACTTGGAGAACAGTGTGAACACCACAAGCCCCCGCTCTCCTCACAATAAATATAAAAAATATCGCAGGAACAACTTTGTGAACTTTCGAGTGATAACTAGGCACGTTTCTGCTGCTGTTCTCGGATCAGACAAGGCCAGGATTCAACAAGAACTTGGTGAAGTGTTCACTAACGAAACCTTTACATCTTTCCTCAACCAACGCCTTTTCGTTTACGGACTCCGAAGTGTTACGAGATTGTTCAACACCATAACAACCTTGGCGCGCTAACGACCTCTCGCCATTTCCAAGCACTGTAACTGTTTAATAAAAACAAATGTGCCAGGATGATGGGAAGTTTTACAGGTCTCTTTAAGTGAACACGTAGGTGCTTGGTGTATCCTGGCCCCCTACGAGTGGTGCTGCTCTTGGCCTTCAGGCTACATAGACCGCCTCACAGACCAGACTGGTCACAGACTGCCTCACAGACCAGACTGGTCACAGACTGCCTCACAGACCAGACTGGTCACAGACTGCCTCACAGACCAGACTGGTCACAGACTGCCTCACAGACCAGACTGGTCACAGACTGCCTCACAGACCAGACTGGTCACAGACTGCCTCACAGACCAGACTGGTCACAGACTGCCTCACAGACCAGACTGGTCACAGACTGCCTCACAGACCAGACTGGTCACAGACTGCCTCACAGACCAGACTGGTCACAGACTGCCTCACAGACCAGACTGGTCACAGACTGCCTCACAGACTAGACTGGTCACAGACTGCCTCACAGACTAGACTGGTCACAGACTGCCTCACAGACTAGACTGGTCACAGACTGCCTCACAGACTAGACTGGTCACAGACTGCCTCACAGACTAGACTGGTCACAGACTGCCTCACAGACTAGACTGGTCACAGACTGCCTCACAGACTAGACTGGTCACAGACTGCCTCACAGACTAGACTGGTCACAGACTGCCTCACAGACTAGACTGGTCACAGACTGCCTCACAGACTAGACTGGTCACAGACTGCCTCACAGACTAGACTGGTCACAGACTGCCTCACAGACTAGACTGGTCACAGACTGCCTCACAGACTAGACTGGTCACAGACTGCCTCACAGACTAGACTGGTCACAGACTGCCTCACAGACTAGACTGGTCACAGACTGCCTCACAGACTAGACTGGTCACAGACTGCCTCACAGACTAGACTGGTCACAGACTGCCTCACAGACTAGACTGGTCACAGACTGCCTCACAGACTAGACTGGTCACAGACTGCCTCACAGACTAGACTGGTCACAGACTGCCTCACAGACTAGACTGGTCACAGACTGCCTCACAGACTAGACTGGTCACAGACTGCCTCACAGACTAGACTGGTCACAGACTGCCTCACAGACTAGACTGGTCACAGACTGCCTCACAGACTAGACTGGTCACAGACTGCCTCACAGACTAGACTGGTCACAGACTGCCTCACAGACTAGACTGGTCACAGACTGCCTCACAGACTAGACTGGTCACAGACTGCCTCACAGACTAGACTGGTCACAGACTGCCTCACAGACTAGACTGGTCACAGACTGCCTCACAGACTAGACTGGTCACAGACTGCCTCACAGACTAGACTGGTCACAGACTGCCTCACAGACTAGACTGGTCACAGACTGCCTCACAGACTAGACTGGTCACAGACTGCCTCACAGACTAGACTAGTCACAGACTGCCTCACAGACTAGACTGGTCACAGACTGCCTCACAGACTAGACTGGTCACAGACTGCCTCACAGACCAGACTGGTCACAGACTGCCTCACAGACCAGACTGGTCACAGACTGCCTCACAGACCAGACTGGTCACAGACTGCCTCACAGACTAGACTGGTCACAGACTGCCTCACAGACTAGACTGGTCACAGACTGCCTCACAGACTAGACTGGTCACAGACTGCCTCACAGACCAGACTGGTCACAGACTGCCTCACAGACCAGACTGGTCAAAGACTGCCTAACAGACTTGACTGGTCACAAACTGCCTCACAGACCAGACTGGTCAAAGACTGGGGAATTAAACAACTCTCGAATTTCTCCACAGGTAATGAAGAGGCATATTGCATGTCGTAGACGTAGTGCTGTTGTGAGGAGAGTTCTAGTTGTGACCTTGAAGTCTGTATGTGATCTGTATTATCCGTTCCGATGTTATAGGCGTTCCTCATATTTTATTGAGTCGTCTCTTAATCTTCTGCTTCTAAGAAAATGATATGGGTTATGAGCATATTTAAGACCCACAAGGGTCGACCCACGACACAACACACACGGTGGGCTCACAGATCAAGCCTGGAGGTGGCCTTCTGTCTGTTTGCCTTCCCCGCTGCATGAAGACACACTCGACGCTGTAAAAATAAATGTGTCCTATTAAAGTGACAGAGCCAACAGACTTCCAGTCGAGCCTAACTGACTCCGGGTTCCTACTTGCATGCACACGCACGCACGCAT